ATGTGTTTTCCTATATGTTGTCTTATGTTGTGAGATAATTTTCATTTCATATAATATAGACTAAGTCTCTGAGGATTCAACGTGTTTAATGTAACTCTGTGTTGCGATGAAACAAAAGTGGAAAATTTAATTGCACTTTTCCCTGCCCTAATTTACACATTTAATCTTCTACTCTCCAGTTATTTTGCTGTCAGTTGCTACCCCCACCCAATCTCCCTTGCTCACCCCCCTTTTGTTTTTGTTACAGCACACCTTTAATCAGCCTTCTCATGTCAGATGTGTTGCTTGCATGTGCCCTGTCTTTGGTGTTTGCGTTTGAACTTTGTCCCATGTGTTGTGTTTGAACTGTAGAAGGTCTCCCGGACAAGGATCTGTGCTTCCTTAAGGTCATCAAATACAGTATCTGGTATCTGGCATCAACTTCCTGTATCTAATGCCTGACCACTTACTGTAACTAATGGCATGGCCTCTATTTGCCTGCAAGCAGTTACTTGCATCTCTCTTCATCGCAAATAAGCAGTTTTAGGTAAAATCAGCGTGGCTTCCTTCATGGGCATTGTTTGCAGAGAAAAGAGTATTCAGATTTGATAGTATGTTGCCTAGTAATCAGAAATACCTAGGCTGAGTCACAGTGAAGGAACACTATGAAGCCAAGTTTAAAATCCAGTTCTTGTTCTATTTATTGGCCTGGAGTTCAAAAGTAGAGAAACTGATTGATTGCTTAACTGTGTGAATGAGGGTTTGGGGGTGAGGAAGGCAGAAGGAGAGGAATTTGCATTTCCCAAGACTTAGGGTGTCTGAACCATATTCCACTTTGGAGTTAGGCTGTAGTATTTAATTATCATACATTTTCCCATATATTTTTGTTGTGTAATAAGAAATACCATTTCCTTCAGATCAAAGACTTTGGCAAATGCTGGGATGCCTCCAGAGCCATGCACATTATGAGCTGGTTCTATGGCGGCCACTGGTTACTTATGAAGTGAATATGGGCCTCTCAAGCCAAGGGCAGTTAAAGCATCCTCTGTCATGGTTAGGTGGCCAACACCATCATTTCCATCTTGAAAACTTGCTTCTTGTGAATAACAGATATATTGTATCTATAGAGGTTGTAAATTGTGGTAGAAACAAGGAAGCTGGCTTTTGTGCATATTATAAAACTGGTACTTAGCAAGATGTCCAGAAGGTAAGTTGCAAGTGGATCTAAAAGCCAGCTTGGCCTGTTGTGAAGGTTTTAACGTCATCTGATGATGATATCCTAGATGAAATGCTAATAGGTTTGGAAGCAAATTTAAGTGTTGTTCTGCTTTGCTTTGGGAGTAATATCCATACATGCAAATCAAGCAGTTTTCTGAAGCTATGTAATTACACCCTGACAAGTGTTCCACTCAAATCAACTTCCATGTTTCGTAGTTCCTTGATGTGCCCAGCCCCGCCGTGGTGTGCCTCAGAGGATTATTCATAACTGGTTCTACAACAACAGAATAAATAGTATTTAGAAGCAAATCAATATTTGCTATCTCAAATTTGCTGTTGAATGTAGAGGCTGTTAGGGATTGGCTTCCTGTAGGTGACGCAACAGTAATGACCTTTGAGGAGATTTGAGAGAGGAAGAAATGGCATTAGTAAATGCCTGAGGAATTTCTAGACTGATCGGGAAGAAAATAGTGCCACACAGGAAAGCAGCTGAACTCCCTTGTGCATTAGCAGCTTAACCTTGAATTTTACCCAAGTGGTTTTTAAAATAGCTTAGTTTTAGTCTTTGACAAATTAGTTGCCTTTGCCATAAGACTTGACAAAGCAGTGTATCTTTGTGAATATGTACTTGCAGACTTACTAAGGTACAGATACTCGGCCAAATTCTGCCAAATTCCTGTCCTCTAGGACACAGTGTGGGGCAAAGAACTGTGTGGGTTATAGAATAGGTTCATCGTCCTAACAGCACACCTTTTCCTTCTCTAGGGCTTTTTTCCCCTCTAAATTATTGCGGCTAATGCCTGTCAGTGACTTACATGTGCACTTTGATATAAATACTGTGCCTCTGCAATGTCTTCAACCCTTCTGTGAAAAGAAGTTACACTTGAGCTTATTGGAAGAGTATGTAAAACCCAGCTTCTGTGTGGTGGTCAAAATTTCCCTGTGTAATTTTTCTCTTATGTCAAGGTATGAGCTGAATCAAAATGGCAATTCCTAACTTTTACTACCTTCCAGCATTAGATCTTTCAATCCAACCCTCACAGAAGGAATTCTTCTTTTCCAGTATGGTACTTGTGTGCAGGTCAGCTATATGTGGGTGTAATTATTTTATAATGGTGTTATTGCTCTCTAGCTGCCCAGTAAACACAGTGCAGTTTCAGTAAACTATATATACAAGCATAGGAACTTAAGACTTGAATGATTTTCTTCACTTTTATATAATAGTAGGTGTGAAGGAGAAAAAAAGATTTGATTTAATTTATAGAAACTGTATAAAGTTTATAGAGTCTCTACAATCATCTGAAATGAAAAGGTTGTGGAGAAGAGAGGCTGTACTGAAACTGGGAGGTCCACAAAGCTGGAGAGAATAGTAGTTAAAGGCACACATCAGTAAATACCTGTGCTGAACTTTTCCCATTAGCTCTGCCATCGAGCATATGGACTGCATTAGAGGTTTGTCTACCTTAGGGGTTTTATAAACACATTTCCTCCCTTTTCCTCTTCCCGTCCAGTTACTGTTGCTTTAGACTGTTACAGAATTAAATAGTGCCCATTCTGGAGTCATCGCTCTTCCTGGAAAGAGGCTGTTTGCCATAGAAATGTTCAGTGATTAATCTCAGAAATCTGTCCATGTATGCAAGTGCTTTCCTGAATGTGCCTTTTTTTTTTTTCTGGTGTGTGATCTTCTCGAAGCAGTAATACCAGCTTGGCTCGCCCATCCTTTAAGGCATATGTGCAGCTCCTAATTTGCATCATGGCAGAATTTCTGCAGCCAAATTAGGAGCCAATGTATGCTCAGGTTTATGGATGATCTGTAAATAAACACAGCTCTCTTTTGCATCCTTATTTACTGTGAAAATGAAGGTTGTCAAAGTGACTGGTGAAAAATAGGACAAGAAACCAAGCCTCTGATGATACCAGAAAGCTTCTGTGTACCCTCTGTGTTTCCTCTTTGATTTTGGTTGACATTGGAAATCTGTATATCCAGCCCTTTTGATAAGGTCTCCTTTCCTTCCCAAAGCCTGGCACTGATGTCCATCCAAGCATTCCTGAGCATTTCAGACAACTTCAAGAGGTGGCCCCATTGCCTGCTGCTAGCTCCTGTGTCTGTTCTGCCTTCCCCTTTGCACCAACACTTGTGTTTGAAGAGAAAGGAGTTTATCTGGGAGAAGTTCTGGCTTAACATTAACCTTTGCCCACCCTCAAAGGTTAATTTTAGCAGATCGACTGTGGAAGTTACACCCTGGATAGCACTTCTGTTCAGCCTTGGCTGTGGGAGTGCATGGAAAACCAGTTCTGGGGTCAGGGTGCTGAAGGAAGGGAAGCTCAAGAAATATGTGACACATCTCTCAGTTTGTTGTACTTTGGGATTTGTAGGTGGTAAATGCTGTGGGTGTTTTACAGATACTCTGGAATCCTAATATAATTTACAGTTTCTTTTGTAGAGAGCTGTTTCAAGTCTGTGCACATTTTAAAAGAAAAGCCAACAGCAATAATTAGTTTGGCATTTTCCATGTTTTCTAAAGCACTTAAGGGGTAATGACTTTTTTTAACCAATCTTATAAAATCAGGTTTTATGGAATAAGAGGACTTAAAAGTGACAAATGTGCTTCATGCTGAAAGCTCTATTCCAATGCATCAAAATAAGGAAAACAATTATACATATGATTAGAGGCTGCTGACCCTTCAGTTAAAATGATCAAAAAGAACAATATTAAAATTTGATTTACGGAATCTACTGCTTGGCCTATAATCGGTCTGACCAATAAAAACAAACCAGACTTTTACAGAATGTGATTTCCCAGTAGATGGGTTAGCTGTTTTTGTAGAGCTGAAGAAACACAAAATGGTTTTAAAATATATTTGATATACTCTATGAGTAAATTGAAATACAGCATATAACTAGTTTTAATGGTTTTTGTTCATAAATTGCCAGATTTCCTTAATTCAAGTGAAATTTGAGAACCTCTAGAGAATAATTGTCTTTAAAATGAAATATTACTTTCACAGTCTACTTCATTTATATTAAATATATGGTTTACTTTTTTATATTAGAAGGTAAATGAAAGCTGGTCAGTAATATGATTCCCCTTGCACTTTTGCTGTAGTTCACTATGGAAATGGATTCAGGAAATGGCAGATGTGATTAAAAACTCTTCAGCTGGCCTGAGAGCTGTTTGTACAGCACCTAGCATACAGCACTTCTGGCAAGAAACAAGCACAACTCCTCTTATTGCAATATAAATGAAATGATTCTTCAATCTAGGGATTTGGAATTTTGATTTTAAATGTACTGGTTAGGAGACTGGGAAGATGAGATTTGATGAGGCTTTTCCATTCATAAGAATGAAGACAAAATTGTTGTGTTGGTCCTGTTTCCTTGTGCATGCAAGTAAGTATATTGGAATCTGCTCCAGCCCAATTTGCAAGGGTGTCGGAGCAATAATCCTATAAATTCACACAGAAAAGTCAAGCTGCCTGCTCAGAGGGTGACATCACTGGAGAGCTGTGCACAGCACATAAATAAATGTTCACCTCTCAGAAGCTGAGGATTGAAGACTGCAAAACTAAGAGAGATTCCTTCCTCGTGCCTTTAAAAATGCATCTAGAAGTGTATAGCTCGTGTCTGGGCAAAGAAATTGAATAAAATGCTGTAGCTCAAACTTATGTCTTCTGGTTTGGAATATATTTGTTTTATTCACAGGGCTTTCATGAATTCTGTTTTGTGTATCAGTTTCTGAAATTTCCTACCAGCTTTCCCTTGTCTGGAAACTTAAGTACTGGTTTTTTTCTGATATTTCTAGTTGAACGGGAAAATGTACAGAAGAGGACCTTTACCAGATGGATAAACCTGCACTTGGGAAAGGTAAGACTGACAGTATTGATATTGGGATACAAGGATACAGCCGTAGACAGACTGCAGTTAACTCCTTTTAAAGGAGGTAAAATTTGGAAACAAAGTTGACTTTTGTGCATGTGGAGACATTTGGAGGAGGATGAGGGAAAGCTAAAGCCTGTTTCTGGCTAAATTAAAATTTGTTTTCAGGCACAATCAATGCTTGGGTAGCTTCAGTTCATCTTAGGTGCATTAAAGTCTTTAATGTTAATGATTGTTACCCTGAGGGTATAATTTTCCCATAGAATGCACCCACATAAAATCAAATGTGGTTGAGGCTGCTCTGGTGATGATGTCTGTGTTCTTCCCTGGACTGCAAGTTTGAACATCTGAGGCATTATGGCCAACGACAGATGTTCTTCAGAACCCGTCTTCATCCCAGAACTGAAGATGGAAAACATTAATTCCTTACAGTTATGTTGTGAGGGGCAGTATGATGGGATCTTCACATGTCCACTTACATCAGTGAACTAAGTTTTGGACATCCCTTCATATCTTTAAGCTGTAGTTGTTTCTTAATCACAATATAATACGGCTATTAAACCTAATTTACTGTTCTTATTGATAGCAGATAAGTACTAGCTCTCCTGAGTAGTCTGCCATGCTGAGAACCTTTTTCCTGCTGTTTTGGTTGAAAAGAGAGAAAAAAAAAATCTCAATATTACTGAGACAGTATCAATGCTTAGTGCAGGATCAAGAAACGAGACCATCTCCTGATCTAGACAAGTCCTAAGTTGGACTGGTGTTTGAGCTTCACAATGCTTTAGGATCTGTGGCTAAATTTCAAAAAGAACGGACTAGGTCTAAGTTTGGGCCACAAACTGACTATAAGTTTAGCCTCTGTAGTTCTTGGGAAGTGATTGCATTTCAGACACAGTAAAGGGATTTTAGAAGAAAGGTATCACGTAAATAGTTGCTTAAGTCCACTATTCTGCAGTGACTGTTGCTGAAGGCATAAAGGGATCCTCTTAAAACTCACTGGAAAATCAGAATAAGGCTAGCTAGAAATGTTTTGACTAGCAATTGCTCCCAAAGGCCTCTCAGAACGAAGACAGCGTTACGTGATGCCTTCATGAATCAGGCTCTAGGGCTTTAAACTAACTGCAGTTTTGGAAGTTGTCAGAAAGGGTTGTCAAATATGTGACTGTAGAGGAGGTCTTTGATTTACAGAAGGAATTATATAATGAAAAAGGCTGTAGGGTGCTGTTAATTCTGCTGTGCCAAGCATATGAAGACTTAAAACCTCTGTGGGCAGGTCAGCTTTCTCTGGAGTGCATACAAATTTTTTTCCTCTCTGACTCAACAAAGCAAAATGCCTTTCTGGAGAAAGGGCAAAAGTCTTCTGCTATATTAATGTTTTTCCTGGAAGTGGCATAATAAACATACCCATGTAAATAATGAGAGCTTCATCAAAGCTGTCTCTAATTACAGGTGATTCCCTGAGGACACTCACTGAGAAAGGTGGTTTTCAGAGGCAGCAATGAAGTCTTCTTATACTTCTTCAGGAAACTTATGGTGTGGTGTGTCTCCTTTTGGAGCAGACCATCCCACTTGGGTCATCTTTTGAGAGGATCTGGCTCTGCTGGTCATGCGATAATTGGAAATAATTTGCACTTCTGAGTTCTCTTTGTTCTTGCCTTAAGTACTGAAAGAATAGAAAAGGTTTGGGTTTGAGGCTTTCAGATAGGTTATTTAATTTTGAAATGAATGATATCTTGCTTTCTTTCATGGAGCATTGTTTAGTACTCTTGGCTAGATTAGGGACCAGTAATGAAAATGTGTGGTCCCAGTTTGCCAAGAGTAGTGCTTAATGGAACAGTAGTGCGTTGCCCATCCAAAGATAAAAAGATTGGGCTCTTTAGGGATACATGAGTGAGTGACACCTGAAGAGAGTGTAATTGCTGCAGCTAAGACTACCCCTAAGGCCTGAGCTGATTTGGCTGTGTGCCTCACAGAGCGCAAATCATCCAACACCTCAGTGAGGTGAGGACGCGGTTCCCTTTGGAGGAGTTTGCTGAGAAGAGACACAATACAAGAAGTTGCTATTTCAAGTACTTAGAAAATACAGGGAAGCAGAATGGCACACCAGAACCCTTTCAGAGGAGACAGGACCATTGTGGCTGGCTGGATCACAGGCTTATTTCTGTATAAAGTGGTATTTGCTTCTGGTGGACTTGTCTTAGTCTGAGGGATCAGCACCCAACCCTTGGGTGGTCACTTCTTAGCAGAGTATTTAGTGTTAGATTGTGTTATGGGAAATCTGGAATTAGTCTTTGTCTGATCTCAATTACAATTCTGTGTCTCAGTTTTAGCTCCAGCATTCCTAGGACAAAATTGCCACAGATGTGAAGAATAGTCAGCGCTTTCTTCCTGCAGGCTATGATTTACTTCTAGTATCTCTGTTTTGTAAAATTCTCCTTCTGACTCTCTGAAATCATGGTGACTTATCAAACAGTACTGCTTTAAAAGCTATTTGGTTTCTTTTCTTCACAGTGCAAGCCCCCTTTGAAAGTGAAAGACTTGTTTATTGATATACAAGATGGCAAAATCTTGATGGCACTCCTGGAAGTCCTGTCAGGACAAAAGTTGGTATGTAAAGAGAGGGAGAAACCTCCATAGGAATGGAGCTTGGTATGTTATGAGCAACAATATATGGATATGCAAGGAGTAAGGGTGCATTTGGTGCCACTTCTTGGGTATAGTAATAAGAATTTCAGTGGCTTTGTTGTAATTTCCTTATGTTACAGGCTGGTGTTCTGAGCTGTAAGATTTCAAGGAAATACATAACAATGAGGTGTAAATGGTGTGCAATCAGTGTTAATGTTCCTACCCCTCAGGGTATATAAGGCTTTAATACATTAATGCTTACATATTCCATTTGGAGATCACCCAAGTCACATTATCAAGAAAACACATATTTGCTGTATTTTTTTTCAATCCATAAGTTCGGTTTCTATTTTGTCTGAGATCATTATGACACTCAGTATGTCTGCTGATGCTTGCTGTAGGTGTGAGTTTAGTTCTGGTATCCTGACTAAGTTTTCATTAGTCTTACTAATATGGTCTGAATCAGCAGGGCAAAGGTTCACTAATCAGAACTTTTTTCTCTCCTCCTTTTTTTGTAAGAGCTATGTAAAGTTCCACATACCAGAAATGGAACACCCAGTGCAAATATAAAAGCCCAGTTACAGTTGACTTCAATGTTTTCTTTCTCCATCAATCTTGTCAGCAAGAACTCTCCTCTGTGTGGGTATCTCACTTGGACAAGAGGAGGGGCCCGTTCTGCAGCCATCTCACCTCTGCAGATGCACTTGTGATGACCTGGTGATGCTCTGTAGTGACTGACCACCTGCTTTTTGCAGCAGGAACGGCAGTCACACATTCAGAACCACCTATTTTTTAATATTCTTGGAGTTTTGCGAAGCTGCAGCAGAAGCAGCAGTGTCTGTGTCTTCACACTGATTGCATTGAGAACCAGGCTGGAAAGCAATTGAAGGGGGAGATACATCATGGTAAACTGTAGGCTATGCCCCAGGAGGTCAGGGAGGAGGTCAGGGAAGGGGGCAAGATCAGCTGGCCAAACTTATTGTTAGGTGTTTCTGTATGCATGTGATAAAAACAGTGTGCCAAAGGGCAACAGGCATGCAAAATCTGTTTCATTTCTGCCAAAGTGAGGGGTTTTTCATCCCACCTGCCTATGCCTGCTATGAAAATTGCTCATGCTTCCTAATTAGGATCATTTATTTAATTCAAGACCAAAAAAATCTATTATTATGGATTTTCAGGCAAATCTGATCCTGTGACTGAACATGGCTGGGGAATGATTACATAAATAATCAATGTGGCAGGTCCAAGAGAGTGATAACATCTGGAGAGCAGGAAAGCTGGTTGCTAACCCTGTTTTGCTACAATCATGTAGTTGAAGCATTTTACTGCTCACAAAAGATGGCAATAATTTTACACAGGTAGATTTCCCTAGCTTTAATTTGCCTCAGTGCTTGTAGGTTTTTAAGTTTTGTATGACCTGCTGAATAATTCCACCATTTTAAAAACTGTGGCTCTTCTTTTATCTAGATGCATGAATACAAATCTTCAACCCATCGCATTTTTCGTTTGAACAACATAGCCAAAGCACTTAAGTTCTTGGAGGACAGTAATGTGAGTATTTCCAAAGGCTGGTCTTAATATTTTTCTCCTGATGTATGCTGCAAGTTGCAATTGTTGCAACTGTAGTTAGTCAGATATGCTTCATGTTTGTAAGAGGAATGTACCGCTTAAAGAGGCTGTGACTTACCTTTCAGCAGCAAGGCTGAAAAGCCACATAAAAATGCACAACAAGAACACCTATGGAGTCTAAAACAAGGATTATTTGTTCATTTTATATGTAAAAGTTCAATGGGATTAAAGGATCAGGAGCGCAATATTAAAAGAAAATAAAAAGAAATGCAAGTAATTTTTATGAGCTGGGTCTTAGTGGCATTACTTCAGTTACGCTGAAGGTAGGTGACTTTCTTTTGTGGGAAATACTTTGAGTATTACAAATCATGTATTTTTCTGGTAAACTGACTGCTGCAGCAGCTGATAATGAGTCAAAGGCAAGAGAAAATGAAATCAGGAACATGACATAGATACATAATTCCAGGAATCAAAGCCTTATGGGGATATAAATTCCTAAAGTTGCAAGTGACTACGAGTGATCAGGCCCCGTAGCTTGAAATTATTAATTCCTTTTTTTTTATTTCTCCCAATATGGGTTTATTCCAAAGCCTTGCTGAAATGGCCTGTGTATTGTAAACTCTCTGCTCTTGAAAAATGTTGAGAAGTAATGGGGCCAAGAGAAATCCCAGCCATGTCACAACTCATATACATGGTATACCTAGATCTTCCAGAAAGAGAAAATGAGCTATTTCCTATAAAGGACTGCAGTAAGGTTTATCTTAATGGGTGAGGGGGAATGGAGTGTGTCTATAGGAGTAGAACCGTGCCTTGCATGGAATGCCCAAACAAAACTGATGCCACTTTGCTGCTTCCCTGCACTGAGCTTAACTCTTGCTCCAGAGATCCTGCAGGAGAGTTGCTGAAAACCCTAGTGCAGGAATGAGCATGATGTGAGGTCTTAGTGCATCTCTTATGACCTCTGAGATGTGGGAGGTTTAATATCCTTTGCCTTTTTCCTCGGGAGGGTACGTGAAAGGTCAAGAAATAGTCCAGTAACTTCCAGGTGTTCCAGTCTCCCTATGGAAAATCCATCAGTGGAGGCTGATCTGGCCCTAAATGTGTGCATCTACATGTCCTGCTATAGAACTTTGAAAAAATATTTCTTAACAGTTTCCCTGTTGATGCTTTCTACCCAAATCCAGCTAAGACCCACTGGCAGATGAGATTTTTTTTTTTCTCTCTGTTGGTACCAGGACATTGCAGAGCTGCAGCTGAAGCATGTCTAGTTGTCAGGACCTCAGGGGATAACCTAGAACCTCAGTGAGCAAGACCAGGCAAGAGGAGCCTAGAGTACAGGTGGCCTTTTAATTAGTAGTGCTGAACCTCCTTTTCTATGGATTTCTTGTTCCCTTAAAAGTAAGCAGCCAATATCTTAATATTGCTGCTGGGTAATACCAGCAGCTGGTATTACCAGCTGGGTATTTCTGTGGAGCTGAGTGACAAGCTTAAGCAGCAGTAAGAGGACAGAGCTCACACTGAGCAGTCTAATGATAAAAGCCACTTGCTCCCCATTGTGGAGAAAGTGCTATTCAAATGCACCAAGTCTTAAAGGTTTTCCCATGCCAAATACTTTGCAGCTAGCAAGAAATCTGAGCCTTGAAATATGACAGCTAGAGGTGTCTTCTTGCTAAGATTGAAAATGTTGTGCAAACCACTAGGTAGAAAGTTATTTTGCTTTCCTTTTTTCACCTTAACCAAACCAGTTAGTGAAGGGTGGTGATGAAAGTGTTGGCAAAATGCCTTGGCTGCCAGGAGCTTCAGGGTTAGATATTAAACCACAGTGGAACCCATCAGCATACGCTTCTGTGGAGCTGGGGCAGCAGGGCAAAGCACTGCTGAGTGATTCACCATGTCCGGGATTTCTCTGAGATAAATGGGCTGTATGCTGGGTTTTAACTCAGTCTGGGTGCCTTGTGCAGTACTGACAGCTTCCTTGTTTCCTCCCTCCCCTGTGACCTTTGCCAAAACAAGTCTGTGTTGTCTAAGAGAATAACATCCTGGTGTTATCAGCTGGAAAAAACCTCTGTGGGAAAGTCTAGAGTTTGCTTGGATTAGGCAACCCTATCCTTTGCTCACTGATGTAATCGGAACTCTTTGACAAGCTGTGTAAGGTGGGATAAGCAAGGAGGAACAAGATGTATAGCAAAAAAGAAGTAAGCAGATCTTACTAGGATTTTAAATTTTTGTATGAGAAGTCAGAAAGATGAATGGGATCCACTGGAGTGGGCCCTGTCTTCTTCCATTTTTATATGGAGGAAACGCATTTGTGGTCCCAAGAATGCAGAACTGGGTTCACTTTTGTACTGCAGACTATGCTGGAGCATTCAGATAGGAGTTCCAGAAGCAGGGTGCCTGTCATCAGGGAAAATTATCCTTAACACAAGATTTCAGTATTGCTTTCTGGCCAGCCAGTCAGCGGCAGAAGTGCTGTGGACATATCCAGTAGTCTCAGTGCATTTTTTGCATATACTTTGCTTTTTTGAATTTGGCTCTGGATTTATTTTCTCTTTTACAGGTAAAGCTTGTTAGCATTGATGCAGCAGAAATAGCAGATGGAAATTCCTCTCTGGTTCTTGGACTAATATGGAATATAATCTTGTTTTTTCAGGTAATAAAATTTGAATACTTTACTCATAAGTGAACAGTCTTCATGGTATCAATCTATTCCAGCTGAATACTGATTTTTAAATTGATTTTTAGTCCTAAAGAACATAATTAATCATAGTAAAGCTGAGCTTTGCCCTCCTAATATACACTAATTTTATACCTGCAGCTGCTTTCATTTTACTTCATTGGACCTATTTTGGTGTAAATTGGAAACAATTTAAACCCTCATTTGACTTGGACCTGAATTAGAGCTTCAGATTACTACTTTGCTTTCTCTCCTTGCCTTCTCAGGGTTCTGTTCCAGATTCCCTGGATCTGAACCAATGTCCTGGGTTTGGTTCCAGGTCACAGTTTATTTTCAATAACCTTTTCTGGATTTGGTCCAATGTGGTGGGAAATTCCGTTTAGAATCACGGATCTCTGGAGACTTACTCAACATGGCAAAAATTCACAACTGATGAATGAAAGATCTTGAAGGGCCTGGAAGTGAAAAAACTGATTTGAGCCTGAAAATTGATTTAGCCCCAGACTTAGATTAAAACTGTGCCCTAATCTACACATAGTTTGAAAATTACCTTCTAGACAATACCAAATTCTAATGGACAGAGAAAGAGATGGAGGGAGGGTTCTGCAACTCTTGTAAGACTGTGAGGCCCTCTCATTCTCTTGATCTCACTTAAAAAATGGCTGTAAGGTTAAAAAAATGATCTTGAGTTTGCACAGAGGCTTCTCTCCCTGTCTGAGCTCCTCGGGCTGACCAGTGCTGCACAGAACCGGTTCAGCCGGGCAGACTCGCAGGCGGAGATGCTGCGACCAGGATCTGTCACCCTGGCAGCAGAGGGCACAGGGAACCCAAAAGCAGCAGAGTGGATAATTTGGGCTCAAATGTCAGTGCTGACCAAGGACAGGAGTGCTGCGGCAGGTCACTACTTTTTGACTAAAAATATTTCACGCAAGCAACTCCTGTGAAGAGAACAATTTCAGTTAAACTAACTTTTCTTTCAAGGACATGTTTCTTTGCTTTTTGTTTAATAGGAATTTCCGCAGTTCAGCCTGAACAGTACCCTGCCCTTTCTGTTGCCTGGGGCTGCCAGCTGGGCTGCTGCTGACTGTCACGCCTGTGCAATACAAGCCAAGAGTTAAAATGGACAGGATTCTAATTACCTCTTAAAATTCAGTTACGGCACTGATCTCTTTAAAGTTTGCATGTAAACAAGGACACCATGCAGCCCATGATAAAGCAGAGCACTATGTGTTTTACCTTTTATTACAGATTAAGGAGCTGACAGGCAACCTCAACAGGAACTCCTCCTCCTCCAGCCTGTCCTCTGGGCCCAGTGGTCCAGAGTCAGACACATCCCCCAGCACTCCCAGCGTGGAGAGAAACATGTCTATTACAGTGAAGGATCAACGGAAAGCCATCAGGGCCCTTCTAATCTGGGTCCAGAGGAAAACCAGAAAGTAAGCAAGCAAACTCTTGTAGAAAACCGTGTCTTGCCACCTGCCCTTTTGAAACTGAGTCTCTTTTCTCTGTCCTGCCCTGTGGGTCTGTTACTGTGTGCTGTGGCTTCTTCTGCTTTCGAAGTTTGTGAGGTCAGGGTCTCTGTAGGGGGTGTTTGAGTATGGCCATGTGTCTACAGCAGCCGTCTGACCTTGAAGCCCGCTGCTGGCTTCACGGTTTGAGTGTTAAATGTTAACTTGCAATAACCTGCTTGATGCTGTTTAAAACAGGAGCATTCCCACCTCCCCATACCCCTGGCTTTCGTGCAGTCTGTTCGATACCTTTTGTTAATTAAAGGCTAGGTATAACCAAGGGGTGAACTGAAAAAATAAATGTATTGAAAGACTTTATCAACAGCCTTTTAAATTAAGCAGCAGCCCTGAGGAAGCTTCTCTGTGTGCTGCAGAGTGCCATGAAGGAGAGAGACCCTGCCAGACCTCCTCATTCCTCAGAATTCAAGGGGGAAGGTGGTGAAACTTAAGTCACTTCTCTCAAACTTGTAAAATTTGAGTCCATTTCCATTGCACAACACATCTATCTCCTCTTTCATAAAAAAGTGGTTGTTTTGCCAAAGCATTTTGTCTAGTAATGCTTTATCCTGGCAGAGTTACTGTCAGGTTAAAAAACAGTAGTGTAAGATATCTTGTGCACATGCAAATGCTTGGACTGTATTTTATATATGTTGTTATCTGAAGCAATGACTGGCAGAAAGTTTTAAAGAGGGCATGGGTCAAAGTTACTTATACAGGTTGATTATATGAATATTTGGCATTTTTATCTGTTGATTTGTATGTCCAAATCTGCGTATGAACACAAATTTCTGTGTCTAGTGTTGAAGACAGAAATTTTGATCTTAAATGCTTGGTCCTGTGGACCACATCATCCCTTGGTTATCTCCAGTGAAGCTAAGGGTGCTTGTTGAGCAGATGAAGTTCCATTGAGATCCATAGTTCACTGCTGCCAGCGCAGACCATAGAGGAGGCACGGTTTTAGTCCCAAAATAATGCTGATATCATCATTAATAGGGAGGTCATACAAGGAAAGTGAGGACCTGAGAGGTAAAGGCCATAGACTTTTCAGCCCAGTCAAAGAGTACAAATCGAAAACCTCTAATAGGAGAAAATTGTTCTTGCAACTGCACTGATAAAAACATAATAGCATCATTATAATGCTGTTATCCCATGATCTGTGCAGAATTTTCTATTCTGGGGCTGTATTTCATTGCAAGTTTGATGGCTATTTTTCCCTCCAAAACTTTGGACATAAACTTGTGGTTTCTGGATATGCTGACATCATTTGCATTTGGCAAATTTTCTGCTATAGAAGGCCAAGTACACAGGAATTTATGCTTATTTGTTTAAATATTTAAATCTTGGCAGTTTTCCCAAGCTATGGCATTAAAATGCTGGAGAGCAACAGAAACGGGAATCACAGAGACATTTGGTTTTGTGAATGTTAATTGTGGTTGCTGAATTCTTGAGGGCTTTGTTTTTACTAACTACTTCCTACAAGCAGGTTCATGTCAGCTGTTAGCCACACCAATCCAGTTTGTGAATCTGTGTGTTTTCTGGATGTGTTTATGCATTTTAAAATCCAAAAATATCTCAAATGTGACAAGTACAACTCAGCAACCTTCTGTTTTAACTTTTAGGAGTCTTCGAAAATTGTGATGCCTTTACTTTGGATTTTGTAACACAACCACCCCCGTAAACTGTATGTCATTCTGTTTAGGTACGGTGTTGCAGTTCAGGACTTTACTAGCAGTTGGAGGAGTGGCCTTGCTTTCTTAGCCATCATAAAAGCCATAGATTGCACTTTGGTAGACATGAAGCAAGCACTGGAGAAATCAGCACGAGAAAACCTGGAGGATGCTTTCAGCATAGCGCAGAATAAGCTGGGTGTTCCTCGGCTCCTCGAACCAGAAGGTAAAACGCCTACATCAGCTCTGTTGGGTAACATTCAAGCTATAATGAATTCATGAATATTGCATTGTGATACCTACTGAAAACCTCCCAGTGATTAGGCTGTTGATGTGATCAGTGTGTTGTGCTTACTGATTAGAAAAATAGAAATGAATTGGTCAGTGGCTTGTAGCTGTATGCTGTCAGTCATATTTGTAAGCTCCTTGGGGGCAGAGATCTTACCATGGTTTTAGCTATGTACACTGGCCCTGGTTCATGTTTAGATGCTATGTGACATCTGCATTACTAGGGGGCATTAATTGTTGTGCTGAGGGGTGTCATTAGCACTGTTTTGTAACACCTCAGCAAACAGAGACTAAATGTCACTTCATGATGAAGTGTGCAAGGCTGCCGTACCAGGAAAATGGATAGATACCTGTTCAAATGCATTTGCATCTCCCAGTTTTCACTTTACAATGCATATACACACACACATATTTATATATTTAAATACAAACATATGTGTTTATATAAATATATGTATATAAGTGGATTTCTTGTAGAGCTTTTTACTGAACTCTACTAGACAGGTGTTAGGCCTTGATGTTATGACTCAAAACCCAATTGCACTTTCATGGGTCACATGTCAGAAGACTGGGCCATCCTGCCACAAATAAGCCTCTGTATTGTCACTCAACAACACTCAACTGTCTAGTGACAACAACATAAATGACAGTACAAAGGTGGATGAAAAGGGACCCCGACTGGGATTTGGTATGTGTTTGGAAATAGGAAAAAACTAATGTGAACAAGATGTTGAGAACTCTGTTTAGTGCCATCAACAGTGGAGAGCATTTATCTTATCTGTCAGAAAAATAAAAGTGTTCGTTAGCTGTTAATTCTCTCTACAAAGGCAGGATAAATGTCTGACGATCTGTTCCTCTGCAAATGTTTTAAAGCCATGTGTGCTCAAGGCCCTTTTTTCTGTCTCCACAGATATCATGGTGGAATCACCTGATGAACAGTCAATCGTCACATACGTGGCACAATTTCTGGAGCACTTCCCAGAGCTGGAAGGGGTATGTGTTTTCTCCTATATCACATTTCTTTAATTTGCTTTGGTGTACTTAATAAAGTCAGATATTTATTTTATACGTTTCTTTCTAAGCTATTTAAAATAACAAACTCGGATTTAATTTTTCACATTTTTGTTAAATCCAGTGAAATAGGCTTTCGTTGGCGAGTGCTAAAATGCTTTAGGTAGAATTGTGCTTTTAAACATTTACATCCAATTGTAACTTTCAGAGGTTAGAAGTGGTTTCACAGGACTCTACCACTTTACTGTATTTGTCTTAAATAAGGATGAAATTTATCTGTTCACCTATGATGATTCATTGGACTTTGAATTTAATTTTGAATTCTGTCTTCTCAAGTTTGAGGGCCATGATCAATCTGAATTTAGCAGGTATGAGACACAAGATACCAGAGGCTGAATCTTATCAATACAACAGTCAAAAGCACTCACTGTAAGCATGAAATAAACTGCAGCTTAAACAACTAGGACTTTAAATAAATAAAGAGTTGAGGATTAAGTGGGGATTGACAGTGCCAGGGATTGCCAAAGATCTTTTGCAGAAACAGGCATTTCCTCTCATTTCTCAACTGAGGGTTCCAGTTGGGATATATTTTGTATCTGATAAAATTGGTGGGCATTACTAAAGTCGTTGGAATTAAAATTATTATAATAATCTAATTGTTATTATTATTAAATTAGATAAGCAGTAACATCTGCTGACATTAAGACTTGTTGGCATTTTAATGGACATAGAAAAAACCTGCCTTTCTTTTAATACAATCTGTTGGAATGAAATAATCTAATATATCAATACGTTTCACTGTGGATTTATTGGAGTTGTTAGATTTATGTTATTCCTGGGGTTTGGGATTATGTCAAAAAGCCATCAGTTGTCTCCACAGGTGCAGCAGGGAGAGATGAATACATTAACAACTGAGGATTAGGCTTGTCTGCATTCTGATCTTCCTGTACAAGTGGCTTCTTGACATTGAGCTTTGTTCAAGGCACTTGACTTGCCAAATTAGTTTTCCTACTTTCAAAATAAATGAGTCATTAATTGGCCATTTACAAGGTAATGGGGTGATGGGCTAGGTAGTTATTCTTTCTATAGTGTTTGGGAAATGTAAAATGGTATTTGCGGTAGGATTTATTATTTAATGGTGTATCATCACTTATAGGAAGACTTTACAGATCCTGACAAGGAGCTTCCAATTGAGTCCACATATGTCCACATCAAAGACACACCGTCAGAAAAGGAAGGCAAAATCTTGATTTTAAGTGAAAGTGAAGAAAACTTGTATACTGTTAATCACGAGAGGAGTCATCCTGCTCCTCCAAAGGTCCATATTCATGACATCCCTGAGAGAATCCCCTCAGAAACCGCTGCTGAAAATTGTAATGGGAAATTGAGTCAAGTGTTAGGTGACTTACAGGAAACATCTGAAGAAGAGCCTCAGAGGCCTACCTCACTGAAAATCACAGGATCTGTCAGTTTTGAATCCAGTTCCTCTTGGGAGGTTCTAAGTGATAAATTCATGTCAGGTGAAGGGGGCATCTCTGATGATCAACTGAAACAGAGCAATGACCTTTCTCCAACTGTTCTGACAGATCAGAAAAATTCTGTCGACTCTTTTGAAGAATACTCTGAAGAATTAACTAAAGAAACCCCTACTGAATATGACAACGAAACTAAGAGCCTTTCAGCCAATACTTCTTCTTTGAGTCCATTATCCTGGACTTCAGGTATACTTACAGATGATTCTATTAATAAAGTAGAAGAGAGCAAACCCCAATCTTCAATTCTTTTACCAGAAGATACCTCAAAACAAGAAGATACACATAAGTATGTTCTTCATCTTCTAAATGAGGAAATACAGAAACATCCAGAAGATGAACATACAAAGGAATCACCTGCCTTCGAGACAATAGAATCAAGCCCTTGTTCACTGAATAGTTCTAATCTCGAAAGCCAAGAACTGTCTACACAGCATGAAACATCTGATGACTCTCTCTCAGATGTACCTAAGACTCCAGATGACCTGGACAGCTGTGATGAAGTTGAGTCTACAGCTCAAGTGTTACCCAGTTCTTCCAAAGTATCTGTAATACCCCATGATCTCTTTTATTATCCACATTATAATGTCCCTATATCAGCAGTTCTGAACGCTTACCTGGAGCCTTGTATCGAAGGTTATGACACTGGAAATGACAAAGCTTCTTCTGAAACAGTAACAGATGTTTTACCTGACAAGAGCTTACCAGAACAGAACTACAAGGAAGATGCTCCAGAGCCAGACTTAGACAATAAGCTAAGCACCCCTCCATTAGAAACAGATACTGAGAACAGTGAGGAGGAAACTACAAATATTAACAGTCACATGAATTCTTCCGATGAAAAAGAAGTGCCATTACTAGTAGAAGAGTTAGAAATTGAAGAAGATGGCAATAAGGCCACCAACGATCAAGATTCCACTATTCCACAACATCTTGAGGTATTTTATTTTCTTATTACCAGCATTTCTTTGTGGGGGATTAGTATCTGACCTCAGAGGTTTTCATTTGCTTTCATTTTGCAGTGTTTGGGAGAAATATTTAAAATATACTTTGTTTCCTGTCCCATAACACTGTTTGCCACAGCCCCCTACTGGAATGAATGGAATTGCAGATCCCTGAGAAGATCTGACATTAAGAGAGAAAATAAGCCCTACTATTAACAGTACAGCAAAAATGTGAATTTTTATTATGTTTTAAAATAGTTTGAGGGTTCTTTGTAATCCCTAGGCATAACAGATTACCAGAGAGGGTATTTTTAATAATTTGTAATGAGATGAACAGAAAGTAGTATTGCTTATAAAGAAAGGATAAAGGCAATGACAATTTTTATCTGAATCCAAATAAGTTTGCCTACAAAAGCTTAAAAAACCAATTTGAGTAGGCTTGTCAAAATGAAGGCTTGTCTACACTGCAGGAGGAGAAAGAGGGGGAGATTTTTGGGGTATTTGGTTTAGACAGTTTGCTCCTGCATCTCTTCTTGCAGACACCAATTTTGAAGTGCCTTACACGTTTTCCAGTGCAGTAATTTTTGACAGTGTTTTTCAGGAATGAGTGTCCATTTAATGCTGTTCTATATGTTGCTTGGACAAGTTGCTTCAACATGTTTTTGTCCTGACACTTATTATAGTAATGAAGTCACTTTGCTGTTAGCTTGAAAGACTAATTTGGGATAGATTTTAAAAAGTGTAGTGGATTGCTTCGAAGACCCATGTCATGTCATAGCTTCTTAATAGAAAGAACTGACAATTGTCAGTATGATGATTGTGATACTTTATAGCTCGATGTATCCAAAAAGATTTTCAAGAAATTAATTTTTTTTTTATTCTCTTCAGTGAGACTTTCAGTCTCACACTACCTGCAATATAGCATCTGAATGGGTTACCCCACTAAGGTATTTGGAAGGGTGGAGAATCAATCTTTTTGCCTAATGCAAAATGTTTCTTAACTTCAACAGGCCATAGTAGAACCTCTAGAGGATTTACCAATAGCTATAAAGACATCAGAAGAAAGTAGTAATAGGGAGGAGGAAGGGGAAAATATGATTGAAGAAGATTTGCAGATCTCAGAAGTTGCCACTACTACTCTATCACAAGATAACCTGCAAGAAATTGCTGAATGCCAGGAATTTACCAGGTATTTCACATTAACTTTCTCTTAAATACACCTGACTTGTCTTTGGAAATGTGCCCTGTCCATTGGATATTTCTTGTAGTCTTCTTTTAGGAACAGTGTATTGGAACTCGGCTTCTTCCTGTGCTTCTCTTAAACATATTGGGTGATTCAGTGCCAATGGAACTTGATTTGACTGTGCTGTACACTTTGCTACACAGAGCCCAGTTGGAACCCCAGTGCATTTTGAACATGGCAGTGTTATAACTGCTTTTCCAACAGAAAGAGTATTTTGTAAGGTAGATGAAATAATCCATATGCATTGTGACACTGTATGGAAGCATGACACTGATTCATTCCAATAGATATTTTTTGAGTGTTTTCTTCTGATTATGATTAAGTAAATGAGGTTGTGGAGAGAAAATAAGATGAAGAACTCGTGGGTTGAGATAAAGGCATTTTAATGATAAAAAAGCAAAGGCCATGTGTGGAAGAAAATTAGGAGAAGACCCCAAAAAATAAGAATTATTTTTTCTCTACTTCCCATCACTAGGTGATGTCCAGCCACTTCCTGGGAAGCAGGGTGTAGTGGTTGCTTCAGAAGACAGATATAATAACAAGTATGAGTGTCCTTTGGTCAGTTTGGGTCAGCTGTCCTGGCTGTGTCCCCTCCTAACCTCTTGCCCAGCCTCAGACCACTGACCTGTAGGGTGGGGGTTGGACAGAAGGCCACGGTGCTGTTCCAGCGCTGCTCAGCCGCAGCCAAAATGCGTGTTTTACCAACACCCTTCTAGCTACAAGTACAAAGCACAGCACTATAGGGGCTGCTGTGGGGTAATTTAACTGCAGCCCAGCCAGAGCCAGTATGGAGACACTCAGCTAATTTTACTCCATTCACTTCTGTTCCTTCTTATGTTCCAATTTATTCTTAGGTCATTTATTGGAGTGGGACATGAACTGCAATTTGTTGATCCTTATCACTGTAGCACTCTAACGAATTTGGAAGTTTACTTATAAAAACCCATTTTCCCTTCAAGCTTTTTGTTCCCTTCAAGGTCTGTCCATTTTTCATTTATGTTGATGCCATAAAACCTGGGTATACTCTCACTGAAATGTTAGTGATGTCAAAGGTGGGAAAATGCTGTCAGATGGCATTTTTCAGAAAAGATTCCTTTTTGAGCATATGAATTTTGAAAGTTAGTCAGATTTTCCCAAAGCTATTTTTATAATGTTACTGATAAATTCCAGCCCATATTCTACGACATGCAACAATGCGTATTTGTGGTTTTGCACAGCTTAAAACTGGCATGTGCAATTGCAGTGGTTCTCTTTAACTTTCCTTTATGAATTTAAAAAACTTGCTTTTACATACATTTCAGAACCAGTGACAATGATGCCAACATTTATCTCCGAAAAAGGTCTCCTAATCCTTCTGAGGAGGTAAGTGTGTGGAAATTTATTTGTTGCTATTTCTCTGTTTCTCCTAAACTCCAAAAGTTCACACACTGTAAAAAGGTCTACTCTCTCTATAAAGCTCTGTGACAGTATGCAAGTCTTGTGGCTTCTAATAATTTTAGTGCCAAAACCAGGCATAGTTTCAATATCTCCTAAATACATGGAACTGAACTTCCCTGACCCTTGAACAAATCCCCAAAGGAGTCCCTCATACTACAATTAAATCTATTGTAACTTTGAATCTTGCTTCATCATAACTGTATAGCTGCAACATTTTGCTTCTTTGAAGCTTCCTTTACTTGCTGCCCCAGTTTCTTTCAGTTTTTGCATTCTCTGTATGTGTGTTGGTGCCCTGGTCCCAACCTTGCAAAAATGCTGTGTGTCTCCTGAAGAGCACTGTTTCTGAAAAACTGGGCTCTTTCCCTTTCCTTCACAGTAGCAGTGTTATATTCTCTCAGTAGCAGCAGCTAACCCTAAAAGAATTTGTTGTAACATGAAACTGCGTCCCTAATGACAGATGTGATTCATACTGGCTTCTTGAGAGCACACTATACAGCTGAGGTCTGGATTTTTACTTTTTAAATCAGAAGGAAGGGACATTATCAGCACTCTGGGCACACTGAGCAGAGATAGGAATATGGCTTTTTTCAGCACAAAAATAAAATTCTGACCATCTTGGAGTTTCAAAGAAATGCTGCCACCAATGTTCAATGAAACTGAGGTTTCACACAGATGCTTTAGTTTTGCAACGCTGTCAGAGCTATTATAAATACATATGAATGAGGGGAACTTTATTCAACTGAGTGAAAGCAGTTGAAAGCAAAAAAATCTTCATATTTCACAACTTTTTTCTTTTTCTGTGTATGTGTACAGTGCTGCAGTGCTGGATGTGCTGACAGGGAATACATTTATAAGCACACTTTCATTTTAATTGAGCAAACAATTAGATATACTCTGCATAAAATACACACACAATTACCACCTTTGTGAGATGCTGAATTTTATTTTTTGTTATATAATCTATTTCTTGTTTGTTTAAGGAAACCTATGGTGTAAATGAGCAGAAGATGACAGATATGGGTGAAAATACATTAATCATCAGGTGAGTGGTTCTTATTCAAAGACTTTTGCAAGGAATCCATAAATCTAGGTACTACTAGCAGTGCTACAAAAGGAATTGGAAATTAATTATAATGGTAGAAACTGACTGGATGTCTTCTGTAATGGCTCGGAGTCCATATTTCCTATAAGCATAAGATACGAAAGTTCATTATTGCTCAATCTGTCCCTTGACTAAAATGCTTTTTCTTGACTTGAGTTGAAAGATTCAGATGTCTAAGCTAGAGTCTGAGTGTTCTCCCCACTTAGTGGATATGTCAGGCCAAGAAAGAAGTGGGAGAACTTCAAATGTTAGGCCCTCTGGCAGTGATGACTCTTTCCATGTTTGGAAGACTGTCAAGACAATATTTAGTGTGGTCAATGCTAGGGAAAATCAATAACTTCAGTGGAGGTCAGGCCCCTCTATTAGAGTGTGTGTGTGTGTGTTTAGTCTAGACTAGGGTGATGGGTCCTGAACACAGAGTGTGTATCCCTTTGGTATTCGGGTCTAAACATCTATAAAAAACAAAGGATCGCTTCAGGTTTTCCCTCTTAGCTGATACTGAGTGGTACCTCTCAGAACGTCTAGTTAAAATGATTGTTATATTTAAATGCAGAAAACACACAAAATATTATCAAGATCCACTGTCCTGGTCTCACTTATGCTTCTGTTAAAAAAAACACATGAATAGCTGTTACAGTTATAGCTGTTTATGGATTGCTGATATTGAGCAAATTTTGGGTAATACTCAGGTATATATCCAGTATAATATCTGAGCAAGTAGGATGCCTCAAGCCAGAAAAAAGGACCCATTAAAACAGGCCAAAACACATTTTTCTTCAAACGTAGATTAGAACCAGAGGGTTATTCTTATAGTATTGTAAAATTATAAAACGAGTGTACCATCTCGTGCCTTTTTAAATAAGACCCTTCCTTGTCTTTGTGAGAGCTCAGTGGTGCCAGCAGAGTCCATTGGACTTTGCCCTTATGAACCACAGCTGGAAATTCGGAAATTTCAAATTTTGGAGTTGTCCTGGAAAACCCCAACTGCTAGTTGGTTTCTGGAAGTTTTGGGCTTTTTCTGTTTAATATTCAGGTGTCTGACATGAGTAGCTCTGAAAGTAGATGATTTGGGGGAAGCATATTAAGTCAGATCCAGTGTATAAGCAAAATTATGAAAGTTTGATTTGTGCTGCCCAGAGCTATGTTTACTGTTCTGAAAATAAAAGGGCATCTTTTTGACTGGTGGGAATCTCCTTATACTACCTGAGAATTTGTCCAGAGTTTTCAGAGGATTAATTGATAGGTACATTGGCTCTGGAAGGAACACACTGCTTTAGCCTGTTATGCCCCTCCTAGTCTAGCTGGGACTCCAGCTGACTAAATTGAATTGGTTCTTTAAACTGCTGTCTGTTAGTCTGCCCTCTGATCTTCACAGTAAACATTAACAATGAAGGTTTTCTTCTTTTGCTTGTCTCTTATTGAATTATCTCCTGTTTACAGGAAGAAAAAGGACTCAGAAGCGAGTGAGATCTCACCACCAATTCATGAGATTACAATTTTTGAGCAGCCAGAGCTATTTTACTTCATCATTTTCTTCTGGGTGCTGATCTACTGCCTTTTACTCCTTCCACAGCTTCTTAGCAACAAAGTTTGATCTGTGTGAGGTGTGGAAAAATAAAGGATGGTGGCTGGATTGCTTTGTGTATCTGCATATGAATATGTTCCTTCAGGTGAAGCACAAACAGAAATCCAGGACCTGGTATTTGCATTTATTATCAGGTTGTCTTCAATTCCTCTACTGTTGTGCTATGACAGTGTCAAAGCACGTTTTATATTATGATAACTGTGTAAATGTATATAAAAATGACCTGATTTAGTAGACGCAATTTTGTACATTTGTGCCTTGCTTTATAAGATGCTAAATAAAACCAGATAATTATCAGTAGAAATATGAACAATTCAGAGCTCTAGTCTTCAAAAATTATTCTTCTGGCTTCATTTTCTTATGTAGGGCCTGACAGCTGTGGAAGAGGGGTGGTGTTGACTTGCCTCTTGATCTGGCCACCTGCAAGGGCAAGGCTAGAAATGCTTCTTCACGTTTGCCATTGAATTATTTGAAAGAGCTGGAGACAGAGCAGAGCTACAGGTGGTGAAATACACATCAGGAATTACAGTTCCAGTAGCAAATCCAGTGGAGCAGCAAAATCAGGTTGAGGGTTAATTGGGGTAGGAGAGTTTGATTTTTTTAGGATTTAAATTTACTTTTGTCCTGCACCTTTTGTTAGGTTTGTTTTGAAGGAGTAAATTGGGTGTGGAGAAGTGTGAAGCACATACATGCTCATTGCTTCACAGGAGTGGTCATATGGGAAATCTTAGCCCAGAAACTAAAGTGTTTTAAAAGTACCTCAGTGCTTCTGAGTCTGCTTCTGCTTCATTTTTGCTGCTGCTTTTACTCACCAGATCATGGGAAAATGTCTCTTTTTTGAAGATACAAAAAATAATAGGTCACCTAATTTGCTGAGGCTACTCTTAAGGCACAAGTGTATGGTAAAAGGATTAGAAATAGCCTTTAAGTGTCCAAATCAATAGAGAAGGAAATGACAGATATGAAGCTAAATACAGAGAAATGCTGACAGCCAGCACTGACTTTCTAGTGCAACTAAGAGACTCCTGTGGCTTTTCTATAGGCACAGTTGAGCCACTTCTGCCTCTTGTAATTTTTGTCCACATCAGTGATCACTTTAGGATATTTGATTTAGGATTTTTGCCAGACAAGGTGTAACCCATGCTTTGGAGAACAAAAGAGAAGTCTTCAAATTCAATTTCATACCAGTAACTTTTCTCTATGTGACTTTTTGTGAAGTCACTACTTTTCATTGACACATTTTTAGTTCCATGGTATGCTTTATGAAACTACATCACATTGCTGCTTCCACCTGAAAATTCAGAAGGTTGACTTCAAAGTGCTTCATAAAATGAGGGGTTTCATAATTTTAGACTGAATGAAAATTAAATCCCATGGCTATATGTTTTACATATATTGTTGTAGCATAAGGTGTAGCCCTACCCTGGCTAAGTTTTCAGATGAAATAATAGTACATGGGATCAGGACACATCAGAATATATAGCAATTTATTTGCAGGTATTTAAAACGTGTTTGTAGTCATGTTATCTGCTGAGGTAATCCTAACCATTCATCACACTTCATTCTTCTTCATAAGCTTTTTGTTCCCCTGGGATTTTTCTTCTGAGCTGCAGGTAGAATTCAACAGCAATATGGCTCAACAGGAGATCTTAAATATTGAAGATAAAATTCTAAACATTTGAACAGAAAGCAGAAATCTTTCTTATTCTGTCCTTTCACTGTTGACTAGATCTGGATTCACCCCATGAACCTAAAAATAAGATCTACTGTGCTTGGTGAGGAACAGATCCAAGTGTCCCAACTTAATTCAATGTAAATCAACATAAGTAAAAAAATAGATTCTTTATCTTGCTGATGAAAATGCTCAACATTTTGAGTCATCTGATTTTGTGATCCACGAACTTGTTTGTGCTTGTTGTTGAAGACAGTGATACTTTCTTCCAAAAGAAAACCTTTATTAGATTTTTTGAAAATGCTTTCTGGAAGTAGGCTAAAATAGAATATTGAAAGGTTAGTGCTTTTCCCTCTGAAAGAATAAAACTTAATACAAGAAACATATCCTTATCCTTAAAACCAAGGAATACTAGGCTGGGGTATGGCATCTGTTTAATTGCAACAAGTAGCAGTGTACATTAGTTTGGAGTGAAATTGTTGACAGCTCTTCATTATGTTTCACTCTTCACAGGCTCCTTTGGTTTATGACAACCTTTTCTGATTCTTTGTATCTTTACTCACTGATCCTTCCATATTTATAGATCTTGAGCAGAGGTTACCTGGAGTTGGATTACAGTCTCTTCATACAACTTTATAGCTATCAAAGTTCGATCAAGTAAAGCATGCTCTCTTCTGTCTTCTTCCTTCTAAGAATATTAATCAGGATGAGGAGCTCTTTGGATGTCTTATCCATCCATGAAGAATGGAAAGGTGGGAATGCACTGATGCTGGCAATTTCATTACACATTTCATTTGTTACCTCCCACTGATGAACAGTGACTGAACATTGAAATGAGCAGTTTAAATGTCAAACAGCATCCAGCAGTTGTCTTGGTCATCTCACCTAGTGTTTCAGCTGATACACACTTTCCATCCTATCCCATTGAGAGACAAAGATTGCTTCTTCCATCCAAAATAGATGAAAAAAACCCCTAAATTAGTCCATGACACTTGGTGTTATGTTGCTTTCCATTTTGGGGTTTGTTTGGTCATAGGTTTGCTATAACAGAGGCAGTGTACCTTACCCAGCCATTCCATGGGTGAGAAGATCAAAGGTGAAGAGTTAAGAGTGATGATACTGGTATTGTCAACTGTGCATGAAAGAAAAGTCTGAACTCTTCAGGAGTTTTGCCTTTACCTGGAACTGCAAAGAGTGACATCTGCATAAGAAGCAGTTTCCCCCCACTTAAATTGACTTGTGAGCCTGCATCTCTTCTTCCACGGTCCAAGATCCAATCCCTCAATGCAAGTGCCCTGTTCTGAAAACATTGCTTGTTGTTGGGCTTTGTGGCCTGTTCTGAGCTACTGTCTAAAAGCCTGATTGTGAAACATTCCATATGGCAAAGCCTATTTTAACTTGCTGCCTAGAGGAGTGGCTTGAGATAGTGGGGGTTTAAAGGCTGGTGGGCAGTCTGTTGTCTACCCATTTTCCAGCAGATATGTGCACTGTCAGAATAAGGAAGTTTTTCCTGAATTTTTGACTGGGTTTTTAAAAAATGCCAACCTTAAACTGACCACATTTGGTAGTTCAATTTAGCAGCAGAATTCAGATGGACAAGGGTACTGATCTGTTAAGACTCTTTCTAAAACCCACTGGTTTTGAGCAAATGTGGGTAGCAGATTATTGTGAAGTGTAAGTGACAGGAAGTGTTTGAGGATCACTGGATAAAGGATGTTTGGTGTTCACAGAAGCACCATTAAAGGCCGAGCGACAACTATAAAAGGATGGTTCAATGTCATTGTAGTCATGTAACTTAACTGCAAAGTGTTTCATTGTGATTTTATAGAAAGTGCAAGGAAAGATATGCCATTAAAGACAGAACCCCACAAAACATTTATGAGGCAGATTGACTAAGATCTGAGGAAATGAGTTAAACAGTCACATAAACTACAAACTGACCTGGATATAGCCTTTGCCAAATTGTAGGAAATTTTCAGTACAATGGTAGGGGAAGCACAGATTACAGTAAAAAATGACAATCAATTTTCAATGCCATGAATATTTTTGAGGGATTGAGCTCTAAAATGTATTTTTATTGAGTTTCTAGATTGTAATGAATGTGTCTACAGAATTTTATGCAGAGCTTGAGAGTTCAGCTGTTTGAAAATGATTTTTTTTATATAGCAGTGATTATTTTATCTATATATTTAATAGAACTGTAAAACCATTTTAAGAGTACCTGTAAAATTCTGTGTATGTGATACGATTATTTATTAATTATGACTCATGAGAATGAACGTTAAGCTATGCATTGGTTGTGTCATCCATTTGAAAACTGGAAACTGCAAGCAGGAGAAGAGTTTTTAATGAACAGCAGACTTGAAAAGCAGGGAAAATGATTGAATATAATTGTGCGACTCTTAAAGCTGCATAGCAATATGTTATTTTGTGATGTTAAACTTTCAGCTACAGTTGCGAAATATACTGAGTGATTAAGCTACTTTCTTCCATTAAAACTTCCAGAGGCTGAAATTTCTACATGTTGATATTTGGTGTCTAAACACACTTAAATCCTCTACGTCTTCTGGACACTCTCAGTTTACTCCAGCTCAGTATGGCTGTAACTTCTTTATTCAATAATGCTCCATTGAGTTTATGCGGGTACCATGCAATACCCATTGGGTTTCTTTTAGGGTTCTCTGCAACAATCCTCGCAAAATCAGAGCTGTAGGAGATTAATCTGGCCAGTGCATGTGGTATCTCATTCAGCCATCTAACATGATAATAACTGTGCATTATCACTTATGCTAGCTTCTTGCCAAGCACAAATGTGAATGCATCCAGTGATGTGTTCACCTCCTCTACTTCTGTGGAAGTCAATGCAACACATCTGTGTGCTAAGCACACACTACAGGACCTGGCCCCGAGGGCACTTAAATCAACATTAACCACATAGGCCAGGAAGTCTCTGAAGCCTATGCAATGCCCTTAGCACTGGATCCCCTCAAAAATCCAACATACACCAACCATACCACTCACTTCAGTTACCTCCCCTTGTACAGAGAGCATTTGTTTGTCTAAATTCTGCAGGATCAACCCTTTAAAGAGAGGAAGTTAGAACAGCAGCAGGGAACAAATAACTGGAAGATGAGGATGAGGTTTCAGGCTGGGATATGGCCATGGAAGTTTCCAAACTGCTACAGCTGAAAGCTCACACCCTGACAACAGGTTGCCTGCTGTTTCCATTGAGCTGTTTCCATAGGTAGCAGATCTGAATGGAGGTAAAAACCCTTAACTTCTTTGTATTGCTGCATTGTGCAGAATTTTTTTGTCAGGTAAATTACTTCCAGTTCTTTCCCTCGGCACACCACTGATAACAATAATTTGCAGTTGCCCAACTTAGGATCATTCACATTCCAGGTTTGTGTATAAACAGGACATACAGTATGGCTTGTTCCCACTCACACCACCTCAAGATTGTGAAGCTGTTCGTGCAGGAGGATGGGAGGTGCATGCACATTAAATGATATGGAAAAGTCATGTTCTGAGCGGCATAGCTGTCCATCGCTTTACACAACTTCAGAGCCCATGAAGGGTGAAAAATTAAACCTTATTTTTTCAAATGCCATAGTCATTTCAGGGTTATCTTAACTGAAATT